TCAGCTCGATGTATCTACCTCTGTGGAGATTTCTGCACGACAAAAACGCACAAGTCATTGCAACTCAGCCCCGTCAGCTGCCCGACTTCTTGGGTGCAGACTTTGGAGCTCCTGCGAAGGGACTCAAGTAACACACAAGGCCCAAAAGCACCAAGTGCAGCGACCTTTCCTCAGCCACGACACGCCCCTCCGAGACAGGAACCAGAGGGTCGTCGGTGGAATGCAGCTGCACCTCGCTGCACGATGTGGCAGTCCAACGTCGAATGCTGCAACCAGACGCTCATCAGCTCATCTGTTTGGCACATCGGTGTGCTGGCAGCCATTGTCCATCTCGGGCTGTGAAGAAGGCAGGGGGACTGCTCTTGTGACTCTTGTGCAAACCCCCCTCGGAGGGCAAAGTGACCAAGGTCAATTCCACGACATCATGGTGAGAAAAACAGGGCGAAGCATCCGCAATGCGCAATGTGCCTGTCTTTGAAGCTCCCACCGTCACGAATGCGCGCGCCACTTTGATATCGGACTCTCTTCCTCGCGAACCGCATCCCCCACTGGGTGAACGAGGGCCCTGCCGATCTCTGTTCGCCATAGGAATAAACTTGAATAAACTCGTGTGAGTAGCAGACCCAAAAGGCATGCAGTGACATAACCCCCGGCAAGTTGCGATCCACCCGGTGTTTCTTCGGATGTTGGCCTGAACTGAAAACCCGATCGGGAGCCCCCAAACCAAGTCCATGTTCCTTCGCTGCGAACGAGGCTCCCAATTCCACGGCCCGCCTTTTGGCGGGTAGTATCCAGAAGCGCGCTCTCCTGCGTCTCCCAAATCACCTGAGCCAGGACGCTGGATGCACTGGATGCGTTGGTCGCTCCGCCCTTCGAAGCTTTTTGCATCTTGGTGGCTATGGCAAGCAGCCACCAAGACCAAGCCGCCAATGACCTCTTCTTCCGCCAGCCTCATAGCCTGGAAGTCCCCCAGAACATTGAGACGAGGTGGCGTGGACAGTGCATGCTGAAGTGGCTGCAGATTGCAATGAGCGGCTGCTTGCGCACCGCTGGAGTGCCCGACAAGCACCTTCCAGGGCTTCACGCCAGTGAACACGGCCCACACCACACAAAGCTCCCAGTCCAAGCCAGAACCCAAGGCTGCTGGGTGCTGGCACTGTGTCAGGTCCGACCAAAAGCTCCTGCGGGCGGCAGGCGAGCCCCCGTGTGAACCGCCTTTCCACTTTCCTCCGGTTGTTGTCGCCCCCAAAAGGGCCTCCTTCATGAACTTCAGCCAGATCTCACGCTTCGCCTCCCAAGGGTCTGGAAAGTCCCGGAGAACCACCTCTCAAAAGCGGACCAGCAACAAGCACATAGAATCTATCTCAAACTCCGTCTGGCCGCTTAAATGGCCTCCTCCTGAAGGAGCTTTTTCCGATTCAAGCTCTGCGCCAGCCAAGAGTACCAATTCCTGTGCTCACGAGTTTCCCTGATGCCGCAAAGGCATTGATCCTTTGAGTAAACTCTGAGACTCGGACGCCTCCTGGATTGGAGAGCAGCCATTTCCAGGTGCGATGACCTGCCGGGGGTCGGTCTGCGCGAGCCAAAGCAGCCCCCCCAGAAAAGGCTTCAGTCCCTCGAGGCGCCGAGGAGCGCAGCGCTTCAGCGAGGCGGGCGAGCCGAGCTCTGCGGGCTCATCCGCAGCACGCGGATGGAGATCCTCCACGCAAGGCGAATGGATGACGAGGGAGGTGTTTCTTGGCGAAGCATGCACCTCCATCGGATCTTTCCACTCTGAAGCAGCATGGTCTCGCGGGTCACCTCCCTGGAAGCCACAGCATGGAATGGACATCTCAAAGTACACGAGAGCCCAGGTTGGGAGCAGACTAGGATGTTGCACCGGAAGCGTGCTCTCAAAGCATGCAAGCCGACGGCGAAGAAAGCTCAACTACAGTCGCGGACGTCAGGATGCTTTACGGTGTGTGTGTATCGAACGGATGCTGCTGGGGTCATGCACACCTTCGATGCAGGGTTTCTCTCCTGATCCATGTCTGCTTCGTCCCTTGTTCCGCCTGGCTCTTGCTGCCGAACAGTGTTGCCCAGAGCCCTTCAAGCAAGCATCGTGGGCATGTTGGCGTGCCCTCAGAGAGGAAGGTCCCTGAGGAACACCAGGGTCTCTTTCTGTCTCAGGATAAACATGGATGTAGTTCCGGTGGCTGAACAGGGCCGGAAAGTGGCAGTGTGACTCAGTGCGACGCTGTTGTAAGTTTGTCCCGTGATCGCTGAAGCATACTAACGACGGACACGTCCAGAGGAGTCGGCTCAGCAAAGTCCGTCGGACTAAAGAGGGCTGCACGCATGCCATGCATCTTTGCGCCTGGAAGACGCGGGTGCAGACCCCCCTCTGGTTGTATCAGATGACGGACGTACCAATCAAACCATGTGCTGACCTCTCGGACACTGCAAGAAGCCTCCAAGAAGGTCTCTACCCAGGCAGGGACAGCACCATCCTGCGCACTTTCTGTGTCTTGGGCGAAGCCGCACAAAGACCGTGCCTCATCGGCCATGTCTCGCAGTTCAATTCCGAAGTGTTGTTTGCAACCTGCAATCCAGGAGATAGAGCGGGCTCGACACAGACGATCTAGCCGAGGGTCTCAGCAAATCCTGCAACTTCGAGCACTGGTGTTTCACCGCCGGGTGCTCCTCTGCAGTGCGGAACATGGTCGTTTGTCTATGTATTCAGAACGAATCTCAATCCTCCGGAACTCTTGCATGTAAATTGTTTGGCATAGTACCAAACTCAGGCCCCTCGGCAAGTTGCGCAGCCCCAGAACTTGCAACGAAGAATCACAGGATACGACGCGCCAACCCGATCCAGAAACACTGTGACAGACTCGTCAAAACCTGAAGAAGGCGAGAGCTTCAAGATCGCTTGCTTCATTCGTTTCGGCAGATGCAATCTATGCTTACGCTTTTGCACAACTTTTTACCGGACCACAAGACCAAGAGAAGGCGAAGTGGTCTGGGACCCTTGCTGCACCCTCGGCTGAAAACTACTGATGGGAATCATACATCATGCACAGCTTCAAGTGCTGTCTTTGAAGCACTTGTCTCGTGGCATCACACATGACGACTGCACCTGTAGGAAAGGAGAGAAACTGGTATCACTGAAAGATGACCTGAACAGCGTGCGTCTCGGGTATGACTTCAAACTGCAGTGGACAGAAGCTCGTCACTCACACAAGGTGGGATAATTGGTCGTGAAGCTGTGCTTTCCCAATTTCGCGAACGCCTTGGCTTTGCCTCGTGGCAAGTCGAAGCGACAGACGAAAGCAGCCACGTCATGTGCGGATGCCAACCACGGATTCGCTGAGACCGTCTAGAATCTAGAAGCTGTGTTCAGAGAATCTAGGGAGAATGCATGCGGCAAAACACCGGAAGCTGGATTCTCTCGCCATGTCGTGACCCAAACAAAGGGAAGTTACGTGTGGCACATGTCAAAGGATGTCAGGTCCCGCAAACTTTCGGGAATCTCGTGCTGGAGGTCATGCAATGCCTGCACATCGCAGCTCTCGAATCTTCTAGGGGCTCTTCGAAGAGCCTGGCCCGGCCCCCCGCCTTTCCCAGCAGCTCGCGCACGGATGCTTCCACCCTTGCAGGACTCGCAGTGGCAGGTGGAGAAGGGACTGAGACTGAGCGCCTGTTCGGAGTCTCCCCCAGGACTTGCCAGCCTTCCGGGCTCTCCTCCAAGAGCCAAATTCGCATCCCCAAAAAAGCGGGGTTTCTTGGGGTGCCTCGTCGGCCAGCTCCGGAATCACCACCACGGCTCGGGGAGCCTTTGAAGCGACCTTCGCTAGTCTCACTGGGTCCCCCTTCAGGTGCGCCTCGTCACCGGGCCTTCTCCAAGTCAGATTCTTGGCGAACCTCTAAGCGGGCACGAGAGCCCTCGCACGACTCGCACCGCATTGCTGCACCCTGATGCACCCTGCGCCTGGTGTGACGCGACATGCACACGCAGATCGACCCCGCTCATAGCAACAGCACCAGTATCAAATCGTGACATCACTACACCTGCACTGAACCTGCCAACATGCCGTTTTCTATTGCATGCGTCCGACTCATGTCTCTGCCCACACAGCTCAAAGCTACAGAAGACAGCTGCGAGTGAATTGCAGAGCGCCACAAATGCTCGGAGCCACCAGCTCATGCCTCATCCTTGCCGGATGGGGCTTGTCGCATACCGTCCGACCTTGTCTAGCAGTGCCGCTCGGGCGTGGAAGGAAGCAAGGTGGTGCAGCATAAACGCAACTTGGGCATCAGATGATGAATGCGAACAGAGCCAGAAGACTCCGCTCTGCGGCGCTGCGGGTGTTCGTTCTTCGAATCTGTCCGAGAGACTTCGAGTGATGAGGAGCCGTGGCGATGGCACCCACCAGGCCTCAGCTGCTGCTTTGCACTTGGCCCTTCTTTTATCGGGCAAGGCCCGGCCGTGACAGTCCATCCCAGTTCCTCTCCCTGAAAGAAACACTCGTATGCCACAAGCTGGTTCAGCTGATCAACCTGGAAGAACAACCAGCAACCGACATCGCACAGCTTCGTTGTTGGACGTGTTAGGGAAGACCCAATGCGTGTGAAACATGAGGCCAAGATAAGTTAACATGCAGCGCATACCTACACTATGATTGCAAGACTCTGAACTCCAGCATCCGACCATATCCGACCGAGGAGACCTGGCTTAGTGAAGCAAACGACGCTGCCAGGTCTTGCTCCGGGGGACCACATCCCATGCGCCACTACATAGCTGAAACAGAGATGAACTGAGTCAGGTATGAGAATAGCTGAGCAGCTCTTCGTTGGTACCATGACGTTTCCAATCCCGCATTCCTTGTAGAAGGCGGCCGTGCTAGACAAGTCTCGCTCTCTCGCTCTGCTACTCTCACCCGGCGCGAACTGCGAACGCGCCTGGGCCCGAACGGGCGGCACCACGTAGAGGGCATCCCCAAGGCACGCGGCCACACCCATGCGTTCCTGTTGGCCAGGTCCACTCCGAGTCGGCACCAAGGAGAAGAGAGGTCCTTTTTCGTGAAGTAGTCGTCGTACTCGTCTCGCAAGGTCTGGTCCTTAAGTGAAGGAGGATGCGCTGTTGTGGCTTCCGTTTTTCGTGAGGCTCCGTCGTGCGTGAGCGGAACCAACGACAGCACGGCTTTGGGCGCCTCAAGTTAGGACAAGCAGTGTGGCAACAGTCAGGATAGCTGCAACTACTAACTTACTAACTACACTTAATAACTACATCCTTGAAGAGACACTGCGAAGCTAGAGGAAGTCTTTGACATTAACCCAGAAAGCTGGCTGCGGGTGAACTCGAGAATCAACAGGATCATGTCGGAAAACAGCGGAAACTGCGCATAACAATTTTCGGCACATATGGTCTCGTGCCCATGGTATACACCCGAAAATCCTCGTGAGGGCGTCACTATTGTCTCAAAAGTGCCAACAGTCGCCGGGATGGGCCCCCCCGAACTTGGGATTCTCGTGCTGACCCTCAACCCTAAACCCTTTCATATCTATACACCTAAACCCTAAACAACCCCGCCACCCACACCACAGGGGGGTGCGGGTGCAAACCCTCAACCCAACACCCACCACCCACTCCACACCACGGGGGGACGAGGAGGGGTTAAACAATCCACGTAAATAACCCCACCACCCACACCACACGGGGGGGCCGGGGCGAAGCATACTAGGGGGGGTTAGGGGGGGTACCATGGTACACACCCGAAGTCCTCGTGAGAGCGTCACTTTTGTCTCAAAAGTGCCAACAGTCACCGATATGGGCCCCCGAGCCTGGATCCTCGTGAGTGTTGCGACTTTTGAAGCTATGCAACTTCGTGGCATGTCCAAAGTGGCGACACTCACCTGGATGGGCTCAACCCTTTTCCCTGTCATGTCTATACACTTAACTCTAAACAACCCCACTGCCCACACCACAGGGGGGTGCGGATGCAAACCCTAAACCCAACACCCACCACAACACAACAGGGAGGGGGAAGGGGGTTAAACACTTGTGAAAGGAAATCCCTCGCACAATCGTACCTTTTGCTCTTGCTTGAGCCATGTGCGTCCCCGGATGCCTTGCGGTCAGGTCGTGACGAACACTGGTGAGCGCAGGGCTGTACGTGTATGCAGATCTGTTCTCGCACTCAGGGTCGTTTAAAGCCGAGCGGCCTTCTTGGAACTACGGTTCGAGCTGGTGGCTTTTCATCTTCTTCGCGAGGGCGTCAGCGAGCATGCTGTGGGTCTCGATCCTCCTGGTGGCCCCTTTGGCAATGTAGTCGCAGAAGGGAGGGTCGCCGTACTCCTCCCCAGTCTCCCGCCAAATCATCTGGCGTAGGGCTGACATGTCAATTGCCAGCCGCTTGTCACTCGCAGTCACCACCCCACCTTGCAGCAGGTGGGTCTCCGGGCTCCGACAGTCCGTCAAGGCATGTGCACCCGGATGTCGTCCATGGATCTTGTTCTCCATCCGGCCGTGAGGTCGTGCTTCATCCCATGGAGCACGGAGCGAAAGTGCTCCGCCTCTTCCAGTCCTGCAACCATGCTGAGGGTCTCTGCTTGGAGGGTGCTGCGGCGGATCACGTTCGAGTGGTGCCCCCAAAGGTAGCCTGCTCCCTTTTCGTTGTTGAGAAAGTCCTCGTGCACAAGCAGCAGGAGCCGTCCACTTTGCGAGCGGTTCCCCAATGGCTCTCCGATCCTTGAGGCCTTGAGGTGTCGAAGTTGGCGGCGTAGGAGGCGTCCGTCACGGAGAGCAGCACGGCCTTGTCCACGTTGACAGCCTCGTAGGGGTAGAAGATCCCGGCGGTGGGGGTCTCCTGCACGTAGCGCAGCAGCTTGTTGGAGTCGAGGAGGTCTTGCACTATCGCCTTTTTCTGAACTCCTTGTAGGCGCGAGAGCTCGCAGGAAATGTCAGGGCGACAAACCCTGGCAACCCAGTTCAAGGACCCAAGAACACTCCGCAGCTGTGAGAGCTCCTGGCCTGTAGCTTCGCTGTCCTTCTGCTTCCCCCTCCGGGCCGCCAGGAAGATGGGCCTGACCTTGGCTGCCGTGTTAGCGCAGCTGACTCTGATGCCTCCTTCCTCTTGGGCGATGGTACGCCCGCAGTACGTGAAGGTCCCCTCGTGATGATATCACACATCCAGCGAACTGTTGGCAGCCACTTCTTGCGCTCGCGGTAGAGGAGGTCTTCTTGTTCCGGTGTCCTCTGGTTCGCCTGCTACCATTTGCTCCAAGGTCCGCTGCTAGGGCAGAAGCTGAGAGGTACGGGTCCTCCTTGTCGATAATGGCACGTGCTTGCTGTCTTCCCTCGGCCGTGGTGAGGTCGTGGTCCATGTGGTAGTCCAGGCCAATCGGCTTTGACCCAGGGTACCCGTACTTCTGGTGTACCATCCCAGAGAGCACAGCACACCCGAAGATCTCAAGCAGAAAGCTGCCGCACCCACGTGGTAGACAAGGTCTCCGTCGGGCGCTGTGTGGGCACACCGGGTTCCAAAGAAGTCGGTCGCCCCCGCGGAGTCCTTTTGCTCTCGGTGCTTGGCTGCCTGGCTTTTGTTCATGGTCCTCGTCTTGAGCTTGTCGCCGGCCAGGTAGACGGCACCTTGCTGAACAGGGTCATGCTCTTCCCCAGGTTCGTGGTCTAGGTGGTGCTTGTGGTCCTTCTCGTTCTGCGGTTTTTTGGAGGGATGTTCGGACTCTCTGAGTGCACACTGCATGCAGACATGGTCACTCAATGGCTCAAGCAGCTGGCCCACTCCGTAGGCAGTGCGAGCTGGGTCTCGTCCACTGGTAGCGGAACGTCCAGGGGCCAGAGGACGAAGCGTCCGTGTCGAACATAGACACGCCAAGCCTCTGCCCGAAAAACAGAAGTGCTCTGCACATTCTCAAGATTACAGATCCAGATCAGGGCCTCTACAAGCGACCGGACCTTGACAGGATATCGGAAGAGTTCCACCGGCATCTCTTCCAGCTCAACACTTTGAAAGGCTTTCCTAGCAATGATCGACCCGAGTGTGCTCCGCACCTCTCGGGGATGGTTGCTGAAGTTGTCCAGCAACTTATGCAAAAGAGCTTTCCAAGCGGAGCATTTGGGCAGGCCTGCAACAAGCTGGAGTGGAGGACGTCGCGTGGCCCACCACGGAGTGGGACCACAGAACTTGGTTGCAGGTTTCCAGGCCCGAGCTTGACCCCCATGTGTGGTGGCAGGCGGTAAATCCGCTGCCTCAAGGGCGGCAAGGCAAGTGGTGGATCGGCTGAGATGCTGCTTTAATCTGGAGAGGTGCCAGAATTCCACGGAGCAAACCTGGCAGGCTGTGCCTTCGGCCACTCTGGTGGCCCTCGCCGCCATGCCGTGCACTTTGCGAAGGTGCGATCCGCAAGCAGCCGGCGTGAGAACCGTCTGTGAGCAGACCGGGCAGGCGACAGCACAGGAACTAGTGGTGCTCGAGGAGGCACAGTGCCCAAAATGAACCCCTTGCGCAGAGAGTTGCTGGAACAGGCGAAGCTGTCGCTCTCTCGCGGGCTTCTCCTGTGCTCTAAAGGCGCGGCAGCGTCGAAGGTACCGTTTGATGAGCCCTTTGGCGACCTGCGGCGTGTCACGGATCGACGCCTCAACCTCGGTTGCCGTCTGACNNGCAAAGGCCACGAAAGCGACCTGAACCTGGCCCCACCAGCACTGGTTGCAGCGCCACAAGTCGAGAAGGCGGGGCTGCTTTTCGGCTAGGAGCCAGGCAAAAGCACGGATAATCTCGGCGTGTCGTGTCTCCTCGGCTGTGGCGATGTCCAGCATCATGGCCACATCATGGTTGTTTAGACCTCGCACAGAAAGTCCAGTGATTGCTCTGAGGAGACGGCGGGGGGCCTCATAGAAAGCCGCAGTGAATCTTTCCTTCTCAGCAACGGTATCCAGCGACCAAAGTCCCGCCCCATGAACGAATCTTTTCATCGGCATCGACTTGAGGAGAAGCCCTTTCTCCGCCTCTT